CATCCTGTAGACCAACTTACCTGAACCCTCCTTTCCATTAGATGTGTTCCTTATTAAAGGACAATGCCTTGTCCGGGCCCCCAAACAAGAAAGCTTGATCGCGTAGCCACACAACTACATGGAACTTGGCCACGTGGGGCCATTTCGGGACGTCTCTGACAATGACTGCCATCTCAAAACACACTTCAGCTATGTTCTGTAGGCTGGAACACAGCAGAGAATGAACTGGCTAACTGTTTTAAAATCTACAACTCAGGATTTTCCACTCATGATGATTCTGTAGTAAATAATGCTCATTGTATGTATTCTACTACCTGGAGCAGTTGCTACTCAACTCCTACTGTTACTACCACCTCCTGCAACTAGCTAATGAGTTATGTCAGGGCTGGCCAACCACAGCCCAGGGCAAAATATGGCTGCCACCCTGTTTTTGTAGGGTATGTGAGCTGAGAATAGCTTCATATTTCAATTTTTTTTTTTAAATCAAAATAACATGTCATGATGTGAAAATTTTGTGAAATCCAAATTTCAGTATCCATAAATAAGTTTCACTGGCACACAGCACCGCCTACTCATCTCTGTTCTGCCTCTGGCTGCTTTCGCGACAAAGCCCTTTAGCCCTCAAAGCCTAAAGCATTTATTCAGGCTCTTTACAGAAAAAGTTTACTGACTCCTGAAATGGCTTACTCTAATTCTTCTCTAGACTAAAGAATGGACAGGTCCAAGACAGGCAGCTAGAGAGATGGTTATACCACAAACCCAGCGAAAGCAATGTTCCCTCCCCCAAGCCCCTAGGTTGCAAATGGAAAAAAAGTTCTCCAAAATGGAAATCTAAGTTTAGGTTTAAATAGATAGACACGTGCAAGATATCTTACAAGAAACAAACTAATATTCTATTTCCTCAATTCGTTCTCCTGACAAGCTCATTTTACGAGTCATTTCCGCTACAGTCAGAACGACACAACATGGAAAGCAGGGCGCAGAGCAGTTTGAGGCAGTCTCCACGTGAAGCCACACTAGTTCAAATACGACACACAGCCACCGAGCAGAGAGGGGGTGGGGTTGAAGACGCGCAGGGAAACAGCAACAACACAGAAAATGTTCCACCACATAAAAGGGTCCCTTACTACCAAGCCCCTCACTAGCTATGGCCGGTTCTCCCCCATACCCTCCGCCAGCAGTGGCACAGACGCGTCCCAGGCCGGCAGTGGGGAGGGGAGGGAAGCAACGAAACAGCAACAGTGAAAAAGCAAGAGTCACTGTCTAGAATTAAGGGGAAAAATCTAAATTTTGGTATAAACTCAGTAATTCATTCACTTTACTACTATTACAGTTATGAAATTCACCATTAAAAAGGAGGAGGGGGATAAGAAAATGCCTATTTCTAGAAAACCAAGAGAGAACATCTGGCCTGATGCTTCAACATGCAGTTTGATGCTAAGTTATCTGCAGAAAAGACATGCTTGGAACTCTAAGTTCGGTCCTCAGTTCCACAAGCCCTGTGGGTTGTTCTTTGTATCTGCTGAAAACACCCAGCTAAGAATATCAGACTATATGTATTTAATTCTAGAACTCACAAATACAAAGATACTTGCAAAATCGTTTGTCCTTGTGTAATATCCTTTTCTCCTCTATTTGACGGCTTTAATGTACCTATAAAAACTGTTAAATGGGCCTTTTTTAGGCTTTTTTCATTGTTAACCCACTGGTCAGTTAGAATTGAAGCACAAGCAGGAGATGGTTTGTGCTGATGAGGGCACCCCCTGACCACTTACCCCCACATTTTTTTGAGGAGCACAGGATACTACTAAGTGACAGGTCCGCTCTACTCCTTCCCCACCCAAGAGCACACCCTGCATTTAATTTTCTCTTTTGTGCAATTCCTGGAGCTCGTCCCTGACTGCAGATCTGGTCGGTGAAAACCACCTGAGTCCTGGGCAACTCTGCTCCCCGTCCTCGGGCCCAGGCCAGGGATCCCAACCAGGGCGGTGGCTCCTGAGTGGGTGGTGGTGTCTCCATGTCGGGAGGGCAGGGGGTTGCGGCGTGAGGCTTGCCAACTCATTCCCTTCATTCTGACCAGCTGCTGCTAAGACTATTCATATTCCAGGAACTGCTTGTGATAGAACAGCAAGTATCCCTCACTGTCCAGCACGTCCTTGATGCTGGCCTTGGTGATGATAGCATCGTCACACTTGAACCACTGGTCCTTGTGCTGCTGGATGAAGCTGGTGTAGTGGCCACTCTCCAAGGTCCCCTGATGGTTAACAACTGCAAACAAGGAGCATTTGTTGTCATTGTTCAGGCTATCCTTCAGCTGCTGGTACTGCCCATTCATCCTGCTCTCTTTGCTTGAGGCCATGAAAGGGGTCATGTCCAGCTCCAGGGGGAAAGACACATATGTGGTAATTTTCCATCTCAGCTTGGCCGAGTGTTCAAACCGTTTAAGATGAAAACAGGCAACAATGGGCAATTTCTTCATGGTGAGCTGCTTAGTGGATTCCTGGTAGCTGTGGCAACCACTACATTCTATTTTGGTACTGCTTCCTAGGTGCTCTGGTCTGAGAAATCTCCGCAGGCAGTCTCTAAGTGTGGTGGTGCCTGACGCATGGTTTTCCCCATTCACCATGCTGCCCTCACTCCCAGGGCTCAGGGGCCAGAATGGGGTGGAAGAACTAGGCAGATCCAAGTTGATGTCCCAGAACGGGTCTATGGTTGTAGAGACCCCATGGCAGACCTGGCAGGTGACGTCTGACTGCCGCCCACCCATAAAGATCTGGTCAATGATGCAGTTACAGTGGTTGGAGTTGCTGGCCTTCTTCCCGTTATCGTCGCCTTTGCAGTGCCTGTGAAGGACATCCAGCACCGCAATGAGGAACTCGTGGGCGCCCTGCTGCTCGTACCCAGCCAGGTGCCGGGCGTGTGTCCACACCAGATGCAGCAGCTTGTACGGGATGTGGGGGGACCAGTGCCCGGAGTAAAACTCCTGGAAGAGCAAAGACATCTTGCAGACCAGACATGAGCTAGGGCTCCGCATCTCGCACTTGGGCTGGTCGGAAAGGAAGAAGTCTGGCAGGAGCGGCCTGTGGGTGAGCGCCTAAACGATGCAGTTCATGAAGCACGTGTTCCCGAGGCTGATCAGCCCTCGCAGGTCTATGGTGCAGAGAGGTGATCTTTCTCCTTTTCAGGTTGTGCTTCAGCAGTTCAAGCTCCCGTTTGGTTGGTTCCCAAGTTGAAAACTTCTCCCCGACGCCTTGCATTTTCCACGCTTTCCTTTGTTCCTCTTTGGCGATTATCTCCATGTCTTTGTCATATATGTAGTCCTGACACAAAAAGCAGTATATACCTCCATATGTGAGGTCTATGACCAGGTTATGTCATTTAGGCTTCGCGTGTTCGTGAGTATGTTTCTTTGTGAAACAGCCAAAGAAGACACAGTAGAAGCAGGAGTGGAGTCTGTTCAAGTGGGCACCGCAGACAGGACAGACACACGACTTGGCCTGGCAAGAGGACTGCGCCCCTTCCCAGACTTGCGCTCATCTCTCTTCACCCCTGGAACTGGACAAGCCAGGGAAGTTCATTTTTTAATTGCAATGTAAGAACCTTCAGTAGCTTACAGATATTGTCTTTATCTATGTTATCAAGCTATAACATTCCATTTTACTATTAATCTTTTACTTGATCACAGCTTTCCTAACATACAGACAGATTTTGTTAATGTACTTAAATCTACCATTTTTTTGGTGTCTCTGGATTTCTGCTATTGGTGTCATGCCTAGAAAGGTTTTTCCCCCATAGAATATTATGTAACTATTACCCATGTATGTTTTCTAGTACTTTTATGTTTCATGTTTTCATTTAATTCTTAAATTCATATGGATGTCTCTAATATGGCATTGCAAGTAAAGACATAACTATGTTCCTTTTTAAATGGCTAGCTAGTTAACCCAGCAATTCTTTGTTTTTGTTTTTGTTTTTTTTTAAGAATTGTTTTATGAAGCCTTAAGAATCTCTGAGTATAGTCAAACTGTGGTCTATGGTTAGATACAATTTAATAATAGTTTGATTCAAAAATAAAAGTTATTGTAGGTGAGACTGTGAAATTTCCTAACACTTGGTTTTAATACATTGTGCTCATTTTCTAAAACAAATCAAAAGAATCAATATTTACAGTAGATGGAAAATGTGGCATCAGGTGTATTTTATATGTATATATAAGCACATATATATATATGTGTGTGTGGGAGCCCTGGTGGCACAGTGGTTAAGAGCTTGTCTGCTAACCAAGAGATCAGCATTTTGAATACCTTAGCCACTCCTTGGAAAGCCTATGGGGTAGTTCTACTTTGTCCTATAGGGTCACTATGAGTCAGAATTGACCCGACGGCAATGGGTTTGGTTTTGGTTTCCTGTGTGTGTGTGTATACAGGTAGTGCCTGACTTACAGTGTGTTTGAGTTATGACCATCCACACTTATGACTGTCTTTTTTTTTTTGAACTACTTATCGTTAGTAATATGTACTATGTACAATGTAGCCGCACATAATTTGCTGATGTTATTATTTTCAGATGTTCACTCCCAGATGTTCAGTTTTATGATTTACTGTTCAAAACACTGTTGTGTAGCAGGCTATGGCCTGGTTTGCAATGAAGTCGGTGTCAGTGTTCAGAGTTGTCATGGATAAAAAGTTGGGCAATGTTCAACTCTAACGACATATGACAATTGAACTGCACATGAGTCCTATAGCTGTTATGACTCTGACTTTATTGTTATGATGCTGACACCAACTTCACTGCTGAACAGGCCTACAGGATGATCTTATTCAGCATTTCGTACTATACGAAGCATCAGTTGTTAACCTGAAGCCGAGTTCTTCAAGTTTCTCTGACTGTAACACCTGCCCTGCTTATACTCCCAACAATACGTTTAGCAAAAGAAGTCATGTCACTGAAAGCTCTAATCCAAAAAAGAGGTGAGGAAGGCTCTAGAATTGGATATAAAGATGAAGATCATTAAGGCATATGATAATGGAAAAGAATTTGGCGAAATAGCACTTGAGGAAGGACTGTCTCATTTGACTATTTCAATTATCATTAAGGATAAGAATAGGATTTTGGAGGCAGTTAAAGGCGCGATTGGCATAAAATCGACAATTTTAACGAAGAAGAGACAAGGGCCAGTACACAAGATAGAGAAGCTGTTGGTAATTTGGATTAAAGACCAAATTCAAAAGAGGATTCCTATGAGTTTACTGACAATTCATACGAAATCATGTAGTCTTTTTGAAAATCTGAAGGAACAGCAAGAAAACTACTGCGAGTACTTTAATGCCATCAAGGTCTGGTTTCAATGCTCCACACGCAGATTTGGCATATGTAATGTGCGAATAACTGGAGAAGAGGGAAGCACGGATGTTGAAGCTACTGAAAAATTCAAGGATGAGCTAGACAACACGGAAGAGGCAGCAGAGTTGTCAAAAAATTTTACAGTGAGAGGATTAGCTGGAGTTTTTTCTAAACTAAATCAGGGGATTCAGTTGCTTGAAAACATGGACCCAAATGCTGATCACTTTGCTTAAGCTGTAGATTCAGGAAGCAGTGGGATGTTACTGCAAAATATTTAAAGAAAAAAAAGAAAAGGACAATTCAGACAACTCTCCCTAATTTTCTGACTAGGAACACCGTCCTCATTCCCAGGAATAATGCAGATTATTCAGAATCTTCCACAAGCGGAATTATTACTTAAACTGATGAAATGCAAACATTGTCCAACTCTTCTTCATCATTGGGGTAAATTTTTATGATTTGTGTGTTTTTTATGTATGTATGTATTTAAATATATCTGTAAATTTATGTGTAATGTTTCCAATCTCCAAAGACAAATAAAGATTGAATTTATAAAGATACTGACAAAAGTCAATAATAATGAAAAGAGGTATTCGACTTACATCAGAACTGACTTGTGAATGAGTCCTAGAAACATAACCATGTCGTAAGTCGGGGACTACCTGTATATGTATGTCTATAAACAGTGGAACCTGTGAGAGCAGGAACTCACCCAGGACTGCTTTGTTTTACTGGGTTTTGAAAGTTTTCCGCCTTTGATAGCATGCAGTGTTACCACTTTTCTATTGCTCTCTATCAGTGGAAAATATTCTCATTTTTCTTCTCCAAGAGGTTTCCACATTCTGCAGGTTCCAGCTTTTGCAGATTTTACTGTATATTATAGAATCCAAAATTATATAAACTAGGAAATGCGTAACTCAACAGCAAGACTAGAGTGCAGAATTTGAGACTGGGATTTATAAATGCTTTTCAAAGCTTGGGGTTTGCAGAAGGATCAGACACATTGTTTTCAAAACCTGAAGTTTTTCTTACAACTGAAGTCAAAATCATAAATACCACAGAAGAGAGAAAAAGGGAAGCTTTTCTTGCTTTAATTGTTCATCTGCAACAGAAAGTCCAGTATCCCTGAGATAGGAAGCACTGCAAGAAGGGAGTGAACAAGTTCTCCTAAAGGAAGATTACTGCTTAATTATGCCTACTCTGCTGGTCATAGTGGAGCCCTGGTGGCACAGTGGTTAAGAGCTCGGCTGCTAACCAAAAGGTCGGCAATTCAAATCCACCAGCTGCCCCTTGGAAACCCTATGGGGGCAGTTCTACTCTGTCTTATAGGGTTACTATGAGTTGGAATCAACTCGAGGGCAGTGGGTTTGGTTTTTTTTTTTTGGTTTGCCCTGGCATCAGGTGTAAATTTTACATTTCCTTATCTAATGCTTGGTGGCATCAAGATATTTTCTCTGCCAATGTTAAGAAAATAAGCATGCTTTGCAAGTTCTGATTTTTACTGCAAGAATCAAACTACATTGTAAAGGATTTAATTGGATCTGCTTTGTGCCTGCTCATTATATTCTGTTCTTATGTCCATATTCTGACTCCAGCAGTACATTGAAATGATCATTATAGTTTTTACATTTTAATGTGAGGTGAAAAATCCTCTCCTATTACTCTTACTTAAAAAAAAAGAAAACTGGAGCAATTATTTCAAATTTATTTTGAGTGGAGGAGTAAATGTCAAGAGAAAATCAAATCCTACTTTTAAAAATGCCGATGGGATTGGGATTGTAATAAAATAAAATTTATAGATTAATTTTGGAAGACCTGCCATCTTTAAACTTTGATTCCTGACACCTATTGGTATTTTAGTTTGCCCTATTTTCTCATGTTTTTTTATGTCCCTTAGTAGAGTTTTGACATTTTCTTCTAGTAGGGCATACACATTTATTCTTAAATATGTTCCTAAGGCACAATATATAGTTTGCTTCAATCATGAATCTTTTGTCCATTAGATTTCATGGATTATTATTACTGTTATCTAAGAAATATTTAGGAGTCCTGGGTAGTGCAAACAGCTAAGTGCTCAGCTATTAACGGTTGGCAGTTTGAACCCACCCAGAGACTCCACAGAAGAAAGTCCTGCTGATCTACTTCTGAAAGGTCATAGCCATTGAAAACTTCATGGAACACTGTTTTACTCTGCAGCACATGGGATTGCCATGAGTTGGAATCAACTCGAAGGCAACTGGTAAGAAATACTTAAATTTTTATTTCTAAAATGTGATGTTGAATGAAAATTTATCAAACATACAACTAACTTGAGAGCAGGGGCGATTATCAAATGGGCAAAGTAAGCACAGTGCTTACCTTGCTTACCAGATTCTCTATAGTGAACAATTGCACATTTTTCACCACATCAGAGATTCTGATTCTTGGTATGGCTGGCATTCATCTCTCTCCCAACCCCACAGCACCTTCCTACAGAATCAAATTCTCTTTTCAAATTTACATTCCCTGAATTTAAAATTTAAACACTCCCCCAAAATAAACAAACAGGCCCTGATGGTGTCAATGAGAATTCTACCAAACATTTAAAGTAAGAACATCAGTTTTACGCAGTCTCTTTCAGAAATTAGAAGAGGAGGGAACACTTCCTAATTCATTTTATGAAGCCAGTGTTACCTTGATACCCATATCAGAAAAAAACAGCCCAAAAAAAGAGAACTACAGACCTACATCCCTCATGAATAAAGATGGAAATAATCCTTAGCAAAATATTAGCAAACAGAATTTAGATGTGTATATAGAAATATACGCCATGACCAAATGGAGCTTATTCCAGGAATGCAAGGCTGGCTTAATACTTGAAAATCAGTTAACGTAATCTACTGTATTAGCAGAAGAAAAAACACATGGGCATATAAATTGATGCAGAAAAAGCATTTGACAGAATTCAAAATCCATTCATTATAAAGCTTCTCAGAAAACTAGGAATAGAGGATAACTACCTCCTCTTAATTAGAACATCTACAAAAACCTTACTTAATGGTGAAAGACTGAATGCTTTCTTCCTAAAACTGGCAACAAGGCAGGGATGTCCGCTATCACTAATGCTACTTAACGTAGTACTGCACGTTCTAGCCAACAGGCAAGAAAAGCAAATAAAAGCCATGAAGATCAGAAAGAAAGAAATAAAACTGATTTCTCTCTAGGGATAGTGTACAACTTCCATCCTTGGGTTTATCATAATTGCTTTCTCAGATTCCATCCACTGATTCTTACATTTACTGTCTTCCTCTTTCTTGGTTTACTACCATATTCTGCTGGACTGCATCCTCAAGAAACTACCTAAAAAAAAAAAAAAGAAGAAGAAGAAGAATATTTTGAGTCCTATGTCTGATGTTATCTTGCTTGTCTTAGTTTCCTAGTGCTGCTGTAACACAAATACTACCAAACAAACAAACAAAAAACCCAAGCCCATTGCCATAGAGTTGATTCCAACTCATAGCACCCTACAGGACAGAGTAGAACTACCTCATAGGGTTTCCAAGGAGCACCTAGTGGGTTCGAACTGTCAACCTGTTGGTTAGCAACCATAGCTCTTAACCACTACGCCACCCGGGTTTCCAGAAATGCCACAGTGGGTGGCTTTAAAGAACAGAAAGTTATTTTCTCACAGTTTGGGAAGTGAGAAGCCCAAATTCAGGATTTAGCTCTAGGAGGAGGTCCTTCCTTGTCTATTTCAGCTTCTAGTAGCTGCTGGCAATCCTTGGAGTTCCTAGGCGTGGAGTAGATTCATCTGCCTCCACTGTCATCAGGTAGAGTCTGTCTCCCCCCATGTGCTTGCATTTGTGTCTGATCTGCTCTTTTATAACACAAAAATGATTAGGTTTAGGAAACACCTCACACTGATATGACCTCATGAACATAATGTATAGGGGATAGGATTCCAACTCATATTTTGTGGGGGGAGACACATTTCAATCCATAACAATGGAATATTTAGCAAGGTATCCAATTTCAAGTAGAATATAATTTTCATTTAAAATTCAGATTGCATTGCTCCACTGTGGTTATCAAGAGCAGTCAGCTTTTTACTACATGCAGAAGAGTTGTTATTTCTCTCTGGAAATTTTTAAGATCTCCTTTTTTTTTCTTGACTTTCTGACATTTTCCTGTTTTTTATTTTGTTTTATTTTACATTCTGATATTCTGAAATTTTGTGATGCTATACCTAAGTACAAGATATTTTATTTCATTTTGTTGGCACTGTCTGGACTCTCTCAAGACTTGTAGTTTTCTTCAGCTACGCAAAAGTCTGTTATGTCTTTGATAATTTACTCCCCATGATTTTCTAAAGTATGAATATGAATTAGTTGAATGATGGACCTTCCCTATATATATTTTTCTTACTTTGACTTTTTTCTCTATAACTTGGCAAATTTTCCTGACTTAATTATCCTAATTTCCTAATACAAAGTAGAACTTGGAGTGACAGTGGAGCGACAAGTGAGTGAGCTAATATCCTCATTTTTCAAAATGGAAAGTCACGAGAAAAGATGGGGAAACAACCCAACATTATTCCAGTGAATAAATAAAAGGTGATGCATACATACAGTGTTATATTATTCAGTCATAAAAGGAATTAAGTTCTGATACTTGCTACAACATGGACGAACTTTGAAAACACTGTTCTAAGTGAAATAAGCCAGACACAAAAGGACAAAGCTGTATGATTCTACTTACGTGGACTATATAGGATAAGCAAACACATAGAGACAGAAAGTAGTTTAGAGATTATCAAGAGCTGTGGGGGTTAGGAGGTGAGGGGGAAATGAAGAGTTATTGCATAATGAGTACAGAGTTTCTGTTGGGATGACGAAAATCTTTTGGAAATAGATAATGATAATAATTGCACAACACTGTGAATGTAATTAATGCCACTAAATTAATTGTAATTTATAAATGGTTAAAATGGCAAATTGTATATATATGTTTTTGTGTTATATATATATGTATATATTTTATGTTATATATATAATTACTGCAATTAAAAAAATAGGAAACTAAGTGAGATCATCAAGGTCACTAGATACCAGCTAAACATACAGAAATCAATTGTATTTGTATATACTAGCAATGATCACATGGG